GATAGTTGCGGTCTTAATAGCGCAGTAATTAAGCGTTTTGAAATTTAATATGTCGTTGACTCGTGAAATTGTTGTCATGCTCAGCTTAGTCGTCTGCCTATGTGGCCTGCCGGATACCGATAAGGCAATGAAAGAGAACGGTTCTTGCTGAGCCCACGTGTTGAAGAGTGTTGGGTAAAGTTTATTTCTGACTTTGAGTCATTTCCATTGAAAAGAGAACGGTGCTAGTCAGTTCAAAATGAGTTGAAGTCCTCATAGGGGAACTGAGGCTCGTGTAACAAGCATGTAGCCGTCGGCATTCATTAAAATGCGATCTTGGGGATGACACTTTTGGTGAATGATCTTCATTAAAGTGGAGAAAGCCCACTGACCCTAATCCTGACCTCAACTACCGTTCTAGACCAGGCGTCTGCAATATGTCCCCCATAGGTGGATGAAAGTTAACAAAAGGCGATCCCGGGGATGAAGCTAAGCCTAATAAGTCTGTCAGAATAGGAAAGCGGCTCGGATGAGATTCCGATCGTGTTGGCGCTGTATTATTCGGAATCCGTGGATCCCGCGATAAAATCTCTACCAAGAGCGACTGTTCGCGCATGGGCTTCCTAGGACTGGCATTTCGCTACGGGCATCAAGTCGTCTTCTTCACTCACGAGGACGTAAAATTGACCGGTTCTACTTAGCTGCGATCAAAAATCAATTGCCACTGTCAATTATCCATTGAAAGCATTCCATTTGCAAGATCTTCAGCTATGGATGTGAACTATTCCTTGAAGTTCACCTGAACTTTGACGGAGCTCATGAAATAAGGTTGGGAGACAACAGAGTGCTCAAAGCTCGACAAGCCCCCCAAAGCCGGGTGAGTAAGGCAATCCCACAGTCTGGAGACTTTCTGCCGTAGGCCAATCTAGATCTGGGGGCGCAATTCTATAGGACCCATGCGGTTGGTTCGGCCAAGCCGTGAGTTGGGATGGAGTTGGGGACTTCAGACGGGCGCTGAAGGGCCCGAGTCATTGGACTTAACTGCGACTATCTAATGCCCCTTATTGTTGTGAATTCTTGTCTCCCCTTAACCTCGCTGCTCAACTCATGAATCTGCTTCTTTAATTCTGGATATGCGCTGAAAAATAATTGGTCTGCAATGCTTTTGCATATACCTGTAATCATCGTTGCTGCGGTGGTTGTCTAACAATGTTGACCAACCCGATCGGATGAACCAAGATCAAAAGTAAAGGACGGCGATTGAGTCACTATGATTTGAGCCCACCGGGAGAAGCTGGTGCCCATTTGCACAAAATCGATAGTTCACCAACGCCGTGATTTCATATTTCTGCAGTTGAGCCGACGGCAAGTTGCGATGATCGCGGGAACCTGTAAGCTTCCGGCACGAGTTAGCTCTCCACCGGAGTTTGTCCCCACAGCTCCCACCGGCCCGGTGGAGAGGAGTCGGTGATCGGGACACGCATTTGCACCCACCCGGCAAATGTGATATGCACTACGGAGAGGCAGTGATTGGAACAGTCAATGACGAATGTTTGAAGAGGATCAAGGCCGGATGGATTCTGGAAAGTCAACCTCCAAGTACATGTACCTTTCGCCTCCGTACTTGGAAAGATGCTCGTCTTTTGACTGCCACTTCTTCAAGCCCGGTCACCCGCAGCATCTTTCACGGAAAGCACAATATCACAAAGAAATCAATTATCTACCTTGTTCTCGGAATTTTCTATATACAAGATGATGCAACATGACGATCACCGTCTCATCTACCGCTATGATGGCGAACAGGTGTGGATTGAGCCATGGGGCCCGGATGCATTCCGAATCCGGGCAACCAAGGCCCATGTGATGCCATCGGAAGCATGGGCTCTCGAAGAGAAACCTCCCAGCATTTCATCGGCCCCTCAGTTATCTATAGCTGATGATGGTTCGGCTACAATTACGAATGGCAATGCTAAAGCGTGCATCTCAAAACGAGGGAAGATTACTATGATCAACTCCCGCGGCAAGGTGGTTCTCGAAGAGTACGCCAGAAACAGACGCGACCTCCTGGATGCAAAGTGCAGTGCCATAGAAGTTGAAGCCCGCGAGTTCAAACCTCTCCGGGGAGGCGACTACCATCTCACCATGCGCTTTGAGAGCCTGGATACAGACGAACGCATTTTCGGCATGGGGCAATACCAGTTGCCGCACTTGGATTTAAAAGGTCTCGACCTCGAACTTGCACATCGCAATTCGCAGGCCAGCGTGCCCTTTGCCCTTTCGTCTCTAGGATATGGTATACTGTGGAACAACCCAGCCATCGGTCGGGTGGTGTTCGGCAAGAACACGACATCCTTCGAGGCCTATGCTACGAAGGTTCTGGATTATTGGGTCGTTGTCGGTGACACGCCGGCTCAGATTGTGGAGAGGTATGCCGATGTTACTGGCAAAGCACCTATGATGCCGGAACACGGTCTTGGTTTCTGGCAGTGCAAGCTTCGGTATGAAACCCAGGACCAGCTGCTGGAGGTTGCAGAAGAGTATCGACGCCGAGAACTGCCCCTTGACCTGATAGTGGTGGATTTCTTTCACTGGCCAATGCAGGGCGAGTGGAAATTTGACCCCGTCTACTGGCCTGACCCAGGTAAGTCGGCGTTCATGTCTGGGAGTGTTTTCTGTTGATTGCACTACCCGGTCCAGCCAGTTTCATCACGACTAATGAGCAAGCAGACGCCATGATCACACGCCTCAAGGCTTTGGGGGTCGAGTTGATGGTCTCTATTTGGCCGACCGTTGACCAGAGATCATCCAACTTTCAAGAAATGCTGGAGCAAGGCTTTCTCGTTCGAACCGAGCGAGGAGTTCGTACAAACTTCGAGTTTGAGGGTCAGACTGTTTACTATGATCCCACGAATCCCGATGCACGTCAATACGTCTGGAACAAGGCAAAGGAGAATTACTACACCAAGGGCATCAAAACGTTCTGGCTCGACCAAGCCGAGCCGGAATATTCGGTCTATGATTTCGACAATTATCGTTACTTTCTAGGACCAAACCTGCAAGTTGGTAACATCTACCCTCGCGATTACGCGCGCACGTTTTTTGATGGTATGAGGGAGTCTGGCCAAGAGAACCCGGTCAACCTTCTCAGATGCGCCTGGGCAGGCAGTCAGAAGTATGGCGCCCTTGTCTGGAGCGGCGACATCGCCTCATCTTGGTCAAGCTTCCGCAACCAACTGGCTGCTGGACTCAACATGGGAATTGCTGGCTTGCCATGGTGGACGACCGACATTGGCGGATTCCATGGTGGCATCCCGGAAGATGAATCATTCCGCGAGCTTTTCGTCAGATGGTTTCAATGGGGTACTTTCTGTCCCGTCATGCGGTTGCACGGCGACCGCGAGCCCAAGAGTGGCAACCTGTCCTCCAGCAGCGGAGCGCCCAATGAAGTCTGGTCCTATGGGCCGGCTGTGTATGAAATCTGTCGGAAGTATCTGCTCATTCGTGAACAGCTGAGGAGTTACACTCGACGGCTTATGGCTGAGGCTCACGAAAAGGGTTCTCCGGTCATTCGCCCCCTATTTTACGAATTTCCTAACGACCCGCAATGCTGGAAGCTCGGGGCGACGCAGTACATGTATGGAGATGCGTATCTATGCTGCCCCGTTGTCGAGAAAGACATGAGGAAGATGAAGGTCTATCTCCCGATCTTGGAATCTGAAGAACATTGGACTTCTTTTACTGACGTTCAGTCCGAAATGCGAACTTGGGAGGGCGGCTCGACTGTCGAGGTAGACTGTCCCTTGGAGTTGATGCCGGTCTTTGTGAGGAAGTCGAGAGCGCAGATGACACTGGAGAGGTGATCCAAGGCTTCGATGCCTGTGCTAGAATGCAGACAGATATCTTTCGTTAGGTTCTTATTCAATTCGTTCCGTTGTCATATGTCTTCCCCATATTCTCCAGGAAAGGAAAGGCCTGGTTTGCACATGACGGTTTTGCTTTTGCCAGCGCGGACGCCAGGACAAATTGACAATTGCAAAATAGTCAACACCGTTCATTACCCTAAACTGTTTTAGTCGTTGCCGCACGCGACGCCTCACATCCTTGCCAATCGCTAGCCTGCGCATGTAGATACGTATTCAGCACGTTGCATTATCCCATTACCCCGCGTGCGTGTAGGTATGTATATTACCCCAACCTCCTGCAGCAATCGAGCCGTAATTTTGACCGAACGTACCCTGAAAAACCTGCGACATGGTCAGTATCGCGGAACAATCGCCCGAAGCTCTTTCGACGATGGACGCGGACTCCCCGTCAGATCAGTCAAGTCGAACGTCACGCCGCATCTGATTCCGCGAATTCAAAACCTCTGCTTGGTAGTAAAGCGGTCGACTTCGTCGAAACCAAGACATGGACTTCAGATGCGACTACTGCGGCAGCAGCTTTGGACGGCAGGAGCATCTAACACGGCACAAGCGTTCACATACCAGAGAAAAGCCCTTCAATTGTACCAAATGCGGTAAAAGCTTTTCTCGACTGTTTGTTTTACCCAACTTATTGATCGAGCTCACCTCTGACACATCAAAAGGGACGTCCTCACACGGCACACCGCTTCTCATAGCCAAGATGAAGAACAATCGCGTCGGCATGGAATATCGGCGAGAGCTTGCAGCGAGTGTGCCTCGAGCCGAACTCGGTGCTCAAGGGAGAAACCGTGTCAACGTTGCACTAATCGAGGGCTAAATTGCAACTATCCCATTCGACGACGACGACGAAATGGACTTTCCGATGGGGCGCATGATGCCCCTGAGGATGTTGACGAAGACACCGAACATCACGATCGTACTACACCTGTGTCGGTCAATGATGATGTGGGTACGTCTGAAGTTCCAGATGATTGTGGCGTGAATGTCCAGCCGGCCCTGGGGAATCGCGAGAATGACACTTCTATGATGCTTCCCGATGGTAATGCAAGCCCCAACGGGCGGGTTGCCGTTCAGTCCCAAGCCATTGGATGGGAAGCGATGACGACCGACGACGGCGTTCAATACAATGCGCAGGACGCCAACGTCTCCTACGATGCAGAGCTTCTTGGCAACTTCGCTAATAGCGACTTCTTTGCGGATCAGTCTGTAGGAGTTTCTGGTATTAATTGGCTGTCTCCTGAGTACTTCACCAGCTTTGACTGGGCACAGCCCACAGCTGCCGACGGATCGACCATTCCGAGTTATGACCGCCTTCAAATACTTTCCTCGGCTGGGAACCAGCTTGTACAGGGTCCTTGGTTCAACCTTGTGGCAGAGCCCCTGCCTCAGATCCAAGAACCACCAGCGACATCTAGCCACGATATACACGATCCAGATCAAACGCTGGGAACTAGGCATGGCGGCAGCTCCAATGGGTCAGTCATGTCCACGTCAACAACGGGAACCTATTACGTCGATGGAGCGCCCACTAGAGCCCCATTCAAAGGAGGCCCAGTCCAGATATATGGCGAAGAAGAAATCGAATGCCCGGGGCTTCCAAACGTCGTTCAAGCAGATGATTACAGCGAAGGCTCAAACAGTCCGACACCACTTCTCCTATCGACCAAGGCTTACGAAAGTCTAATCCACAAATTCAAAGATGAAGGCTGTTTTAAAGGGCTCGCGCTCCACCCGACACAGCTTCCTTCTTTGTCGCACACAAGAGTCTGCTTCAGGCTCTACTTCCATCGCTTTCATCCAGCGTATCCTTTCTTGAGGAAGTCAAGATCCATATATGACTCGGAATCTAATTGGCTTGTTCTTCTCGCTATATGTGCTATTGGATCGAGATATACCCCAGGTGTCAACAATCACAGCCAAAAAGAGACACTGTTCCTTTTGCTCGAAAAGGCTGTATTCCATCACAATTCGGAACACAATGGCTCAAGATTGCCCGCATGCTGGGGCTCGTTCTGCGAAGCTAGATCGGATGACAACTGGGCCATGGGAGTTGTTCAAGCAACAATTCTCTATCTAGTGTGCAAATCGCAGGATCCGAAGAAAGACCCCAACCGATTGGACGTGGTGGCGCGTCAATGTCTTCTTGAATGCTGCCGCGAACTCGGCCTGTTGAACATAGCGACTACAAAATCAACGAACATAGAATCTGCTCCAAAAGAGGACGTATTGAAAGCTTGGATTCAGAAGCAATCCCGTATCCGAACTGGGATGATGATATGGGTAAGACGTTCCACTCGGACTATTCCGACCTTGACTACTGTCTTGCTACGGGAAAAGTTAACGAGTCTGAAATGCTGCAGATTCTTGACTCTATCTTGGCTTTGGAATTCAATCAAGAACCTCTACTTAGGGTGGGCGACGTCAAAGGCGTTTTGCCTTGCCCGGAGCCGCTGTGGGAGAAACCAGACTTGGAAGAAATCTCAAGAGATGACTCCAAAACAGGTATGTGCTTTGGCGTCTTATAATCATAAAAGGAACCATTAATGACCATTGTTCATATGAAGTCCGAATCCATGATGCACTTAGCATGTTGTATGCAGGAAAGAAGTTGCCTCCAAACATTGGAGATTTTGGCACAATTGTCTTGACCTACGCTGTTTGTCGACGGACGAAGGATGCAATATATCAACACCAATCAAAGCTTTCTTCGTGGACGCCAACAGCGGACGTCGCCAAGAATTCTGAGGAGGAACTCGTTGAAGAAACGTGGCCACCATCGCTTCCAATTCTCTCAAGATGGAGAAACAGCGCATGCGACTGCTTAGACTTGCTTCATTGGAACGCCAACGCCATAATTGCGAAAGCCGGAGGCTGGGAGCATCCAGCACTATTACACCTACACCTCTCGCGACTGATTCTGTTAACACCGATAAACCACATGAGGACGCTTGCCGTGGCAGCCTCGCTGGGTACCTTCGGCAGATCGGTTGACAAGTCGAAGGTGGAAATAGCGAGAACGAGCATCGCCAAATGGGCGATAAACGATCAATACAAGGCCAGGTTATCGATCATTCACGCCGGGGCTCTTCTGTGGCATATTCGACGCTACAGCATTAAAAATGTTCTGGAGCCCTTCGCCATCTTCGCCTCTACTCTGGTTATCTGGTCTTACAGCACCATGATGCTATTTTTGAACCAGCATAAAGCTGCATTAACACAGATGCCGGGGACTTCACGAGGAGAGCATTTCCGGGATGGTTTCAAGGCATCACAGGCAAGTCCAAACGACACAGGCGGAGCGGGAGATGAGTCTGAGGAACCAGAGCCGAAGTTCTTGCACCTGGATAGACCATGCGATGATGAGATGGTGCAGACGTACGTGAAGCTGGGGCACCGTATGTCGGGGCACGTTGCGAAAGTTGGCGATATTTGCCACGAAGGTGCACCCAAGAAGATTTTACGTGAAGGTATTCGAATGTTGACTGGCAAATGTGGACATGAGTCGGAGCTTTTGGGTGAGAACTTGGAGGGAGGCGGTTCATTGGAGCAGCAGGGGATCTGGGGCGTTGAGCAGCCCTTGGCAGATTTGCTAGCATCCCTTGTTCAGTCTAATTCCGACTGAGAATGAAACCAATTTTCTCCTCAGCAAATATTCACACGTTTATCCGTCATTTTCGTCCGATCTGATCTTGATAGCCTGATTATCTGACATCTCCACCGGAGAGACACAGCTCAAGGGAAGCTGCTTGGAGAATCCACTTGCAGAACATCCCACATGCTCCGGTGGCACGACACCACTCCGGCGGGGGTGGAGCTCAGCACCGACGAAGCTGAAAGTTAGGTAAACCTATTCCGCAGTAGCAAAGCTAACCGTAGTTTAGCTTCGTTCCGTATGCGAATTACCCCAGGTTTTATCCAGGATGCGTGCGGGGAATTCAACTACGCCCCTGGGCAGGAGAGCGAGACCGGCAAATTCCTGTTGACTGACCTATACATGTATATATGACAGAAGTCTCCACAGAGTTTGTAACACTGTTTGCTGATCTTGTACGAATCATCTCGTCCTTTTCGGGTTGAGTGTCTTTCACTCGGTCCATCATCAACCGAAACCTTCCGTTATCACACACAAACTGCTTGTCTCAAAGCCTGCACAAAGTGCGACTCTCGCAATGGCACCCAAACATGACGACGATGCGGTCGATGTCGCTGAGCATGAACAAGCTCATGCCAATGAGTACGAGATCAAGGACCTGGCCTTGGCTAAACAAGCCGCCGAGGACGAGCACAGTCTTGGCTTCCTTGAAGCCATCCGCCTGTATCCCAAGGCTGCGCTGTGGTCCGTCCTAGTTTCCGCCTCGATTATCATGGAAGGATACGACATCGTCCTCATTTCATCCTTCTTCGCTCAACCTGCTTTCAAAGAGCATTATGGAGAATACATTCCAAGCAAAGGATCTTACGAAATCACCGCCGCCTGGCAAAACGGACTCAGCAACGCCGTGAGTGTTGGCACTATCATCGGGGCCTTCGCCAACGGCTACTTCACCCACCGTTTCGGATACCGAAAGGTTCTTCTGGCGTCCCTCGCTTCAATCTGCTGCTTCATCTTCATCTCTTTCTTCTCGCCAAATCTTCCAGTACTGCTCGTAGGCCAGTTCCTTTGCGGAATTCCATGGGGTGTCTTCGCAACAACAGCCCCGGCTTACGCATCAGAAGTTTGCCCTCTTGCACTACGCGGCTATCTCACCGTTTACGTTAATTTGTGCTGGGCTCTCGGTCAGCTCATTTCAGCCGGTGTTCAAGCCGGGTTCTCGGAGAGAGTCGGTCAATGGTCTTACCGGGTTCCGTTTGCTATTCAATGGGTGTGGCCGCTCCCTCTTTTCGCCATCCTGTGGTTCGCACCAGAGTCGCCTTGGTACTTCGTCCGCCTGGGCAAATATGACCAAGCCGAAATGTCGATCCTCCGCCTCAGTTCGCCTTCGCAGCGCAGCCAGGCGAAGCAGAAAGTGGCCATGATGATCCACACAAACGAGATCGAGGCACAAATGGATGAAGGCACATCCTACATGGACTGCTTCCGAGGTGTCGACCTGCGCAGAACCGAGATCGCGTGCCTGGCCTTCGCTGCTCAGCCTTTTTGTGGATCCGCAATGGGAGGCACGCCAACCTACTTCTTTGTTCAGGCTGGGCTCTCCACCTCAATTTCATTCCAAATGTCTGTCGGGGGACTTGGAATCGCCTCAGTTGGCACGATCATGGCTTGGGGTCTTCTCCATATGTGTGGGCGCCGTACTCTGTACCTATGGGGCCTTGGCCTTTTGACCCTCATACTTGTCGCGGTCGGTTCGATCAGTGCCGCCGCACCCAACTCAGATGCCGCAAACTATGGTCAAGCCGGCATGATGCTTGCTTGGCTAGCTGTGTATTATCTTACGATCGGCCCGATATGTTACGCCATCATTTCCGAAGTCTCATCCACGCGCCTCCGTAATAAGAGCGTGTGTCTGAGCCGAATCACTTATTACGTTGCTCAGATCATCTGCAACGTCATTAATCCTTATATGGTGAGTATCTACTCATTGAAATTAGCTATAACATTAAGAGATCATGATAATAACCCTGGACCTAGCTCAATCCGACAGCGGGAGGCTGGAAAGGCAAGACTGCTTTCTTTTGGTGCGGATGTGCGTTTGTCTTCTTCATCTGGACATACTTCCGGTTGCCTGAGACTAAAGGCAAGACTTTTGAAGAGCTTGACATCCTGTTTGCTAGAGGTGTCAAGGCATCGGACTTTGCTTCCTACAAAGTCGATGCATATGCAGGCGGGGACGAGGCTTTGACTAAAGAAGGTTGAGTCGGAATTCTCACCTCATCTTCCTGTCTTGTTTCATGCGGAGGGATGGATGATACGTTCGACTCCCTGTTCCTACAGGACCTGCTCGAGTTTGTCATTGTCGCTGCGAAGCAGTGGTTCAGATAATTCACCTAATGAAGTTTTGTCTACTTGAAGTCTCTGAAAGGTTTTTGAAGCGTCACCATGCTAGTAAGGAACTTACTGCTAGTCGCAAATTGTTGAATGTTTTTGCATTTCAGTTTTCAAAGAGTTTTGCTATCCGGGCAGAAAACTATTATATTAAGTCTGATAGTTTGTTCATACTATCAGTCCTATTATGGTCATCGGCCCTGTCGTCCCTATCGCCCCTATTATCATCTACGCCTACGACCTGGCCGGATACCAATAATCCTTTCAAAACTTTGGATTTCTCAAGTATCGCCGAATTGAGAAGATCACATCATAAACCATATGTGTTTGCCGTCGTTCAAAACATTAACCCTTCAATTGCGCTCAGCTTTTGCTGGGGTAAATCGAATTCTGCGAATTAATACATTGATCCTGTTATAGCAGGGATCAACAACCCGACGTCTGACACGATTTCCCGGCGGGGGTGGAGGGCGTCACCTTGGCAGTGGATCTGATGGGGTGATCATACCCAAACACCACGAACCTATTTCCATCAGTACTTTGCGGGGTTGCTGCGGGGAAACTTGGGTTGTGATGGGTATGGAGTCAATATTCAAACTTGGATATTGCCAAAAGTCGATGCTCCGATGGGGAACCTTGAATCCGGTGATGAACCAAATGCGACATCGCCAATTTTGCGGTTGAAGATGAAATGGATGGTATATAAAACCAGACGGAATTGTGAAATTGTTTGAACTTCATCAGCATCGTCCTTTCATGCGTGCACAACACCAATACCATCATGAAGCTCGAAAATGTTCTTCCGGCGCTCTTCGTGGCCCTCAACATCGGCCAAACCACTGCCTTCATAGTCCCGCGTGCAGCATCGGGCGCTGCGACTGTTGACCTCAGCACTTCGACTGGAGAGGCTCGATTTCTTGGATCAGCGTTCATTTATGGATTTCCTGACAATGGCACAGACGCAGATGGTTCCATTCCCGATTACTTCGCCACTGACATCAAGTTCAATGCTTGCCGTGCCGGCGGCGCCCAAACACCATATGCTGGATGGGCTGGTGGTGGATATGACGGCTATATCGGACGTTTCAACTCTACCCTTTCCAATTACCGGACTACTCGTAAATATGGAGCAGGCTTTATCTTGCTTCCCCATGACCTGTGGGGCTCCGACGGTTCTTTGGGGGGAGACGGACTGTATCCGGGAGACAATGGAGACTGGTCTGAGATGGAGGCTTTCCTCGCGCAAGTAATCAAGGATCTTAAACAAAACGACATGCTTGAGGGGCTGGTCTTTGACATCTGGAACGAACCCGAGCTTGAAATCTTCTGGGCACGCTCTTGGGATCAATACTTAGAGTACTATGTTAGAGCTCACAGAATCATCAGGCCAGTACTGCCCACTTTGGCAATGTAGCCCGAAGCTAACATCCATCCCAGAGCCGAACTTCCTGATACGCTCATCAGCGGGCCATCTGGTGCAACTATACCTGACTTTCAGAGTTCTACCTGGACTTCTTGGCTGGCCACCATATCGGCAAACGATACGGTCCCCGATATTTACTCTTGGCATCAGATTGGAGACACAGGCCGTGAGCTCGACAAGGTCATTCCTGATTTCAACACACTCCTCAGCCAGCACAATCTTCCACAGAGAGCGATCGACATAAACGAGTATGCAGCGCCGGAAAGACAGAACCCTGCCAACTCCGCCTTCTATCTGGCCCAGCTTGAACGTCATAACCTACGCGGTTTAAGGGCCAACTGGGGCAGTGGTACAGGTCTACATGATCTGATGGCCGACCTGGTCTTCAAGGATTCCGACGGCAACTATAAGCCCAACGGCGATTGGCAGACGTACAAGTACTACGCCGGGATGACAGGCGATCGCGTTGCCACCGCGGCATCACCGGACCTGAAGTTTGATGTCTTTGGGACTATTTCTGAGAAAAATGTCAAGGTTCTTGCTGGAACTCAGTCTCTTCAGGCCTCGTATGAGATCAGCGTCTCGGGGTTGGGTCGTATTGGACTGCCTGCCGACGGGAGTGTTTCGATTCGTACTCTTCGGTTCGACTTCGATGGCCGCTCGGGCTTGGTTGAAGGTCCTGTTGATCTTGGCACGGCTGAATACACATACACATCTGATACGGTTAGTCCAGTTATTTTCACATGAGTTGTCTTTGGCTGATCTTCTCCTAGCTCATCATTCCTGTTGAAACTCCGACAAACTCGACTGCGTTTGCATACGAGTTCTCTGGCGGCCAGTAAATCAGAGTGGAGTACAAAATGCAAGGTCTGGGACAGTGCTATCTCCAGTATGACTTGACATGTTGTGAGACCAGAAGGAATAGGCACGCCGCACTGCATGCAGAAAATGATCCAAGCTGGCTCTTTGACTAGAAAATATCAATCACAAGTCTGGCGTGCACTGTATCCTTGACCATTCAACCTCACACATAATACGCACAGTGCAGCAACATGTTGCTTAAAAAAGAGGCGTAATGAGCTTTGCTACCTAGGCGGACCCAGCTAATCGGGCTGAACTCATAGCTTTGACCTAGGTACGTAGTAGATATATATATATTTGAGCTATCACGATTGTGGTTTTTTGTTTTTATTATTATTGTCGTCGTCGTCGTCGTTGTCGTCTTCGTCGTCATTATTTCTATTGGCGTTACCGTTGTCATCGTACTATTAGCTTGTTAGCTTATCCGCCCGGAGAGCAGGATTCGCCGTAATCAGCCATGCTAAACATACTAGTTTGATGCCAAAAGTCTGGAAATTCAACCGCAGCTCACAAATGAGCACTTACTGGGAAGAAACCTTTATGATTCGCGGATAAACACGAAGTGCACTGGTGATAACCTTGTGAGGTTGCCACTCAGGTCCATACTTAGGTGCTTCAGGTCTCCACTAGGAAGTCCAATAGCGTCTCCGTGCAACCTTTTTAACTGAACCCCCCCAAAAACACCCTTCTCCCATCTCCAACTTCCATCACCGCATTCACCATCTTCTCCCATCTCAACTCAACTCACCCTGCGCAGGCCCATCACGAAGCCCCACTTGGCACCAAAAACATGCATTTCACCAAACACTGCATCGAGCCTCGGGCGGCGCACACCCACACGGTCGTCTTTCTCCATGGCAGAGACAGCATCTGCAACGATTTCGCAGATGAGCTTTTCGAGAGCGAAGCGTCAGAACCGGCAAACCAGCCAAGAATCCTTCCAGACCTGTTACCATCGATTCGATGGGTCTTCCCCGGAGCTGCTGTGATTCCATCTAAGAGGTTCGGCACCGATATGTCACAGTGGTTTGATGTCTGGTCACTGGAACATCCAGAGGAGCAGGCCGATATCCAGAAAGCCGGCCTGAGACGAAGTATCGAATTCCTAGTCAACTTAATCGAGAGCGAATCCAACTTGGTCTCCCTGGAAAAGATATTCTTATGCGGTATCAGCCAAGGATTTGCAACTTCAGTTGCCGCCTTGCTGTCGACGTCAAAGTTAGGCAGTTTGGGTGGGCTGATTGGCTGGTGCAGCTGGATGCCACCGGCAGTTGTCATCGAAGAATTGGCGGAGAGACGTTCGCCATATCACCAGAAAAGCGTTACACAACCGTCGATCAACCCCCCTATTTTCCTCGCTCACGCCGTGGATGACGAGGTTATTGATGTCAGGCTCGGTCGTCAGTTGCGGAGGACTCTTGGGTCATTTTGCAAGACAGTTGAATGGCATGAGTATGATTCAGGAGGTCACTGGGTCAACGAGCCACAGGGTGTGGATGACATGGTGAGCTTTCTGAGGCTCAACATGCATTAGGCAGAACTAGCCTATCAGAACTTCTCAATAAACTCATTATGATGAGGACGGACGGGACGGTTGTATATTGTCGATTGCGAAGTTCATTCCTCAAATCGTAACTTCAAGTATCGGGGCACATCAATGAGATGTGCGTGTGACTAGGCAACACATCCTTGGGCGTGGATAGTGACATCCTGACTAGCGTCAAAGTTCGTGCTCCGGTCTATCATAGGACCCAATCAACGATCCCCTCACAGACACAAGGTGAAAAACAATTCGTAACCGTTAGCCAGGATCGTAGGATGCGATGCCGACCCGGATGGGGCATGGGAACGGGCAGCATTTGAGCGATGCAGAATCCCCTCTCAGTTGGAGCCAACCAAGTAACGGTTTGATCGAGGCTAGGGCCGGGTCTTGCTAAATAGTGGGATACGTTTTGGGTTAGAGGATACGTATTTACGAAGTCTTGGCACCATCTCAACTCTTGTACTCTTGTGGTAGCTGAGACAAAACCCCAAAATGGCAGATCCTGTTTTACACCGGCTCCAAGCCGGGGAAATCGCACACATGTAAATTGAAAACCTTGAAGTTTATTTGTCCCTTTCGTGACGATAAGACCTATGACATGTATGCATGATGGGACCAAGGAGAACAGGCAACAACACCAATTAAAGGAGTTGAGAGAGCCTGTTGAAGTATCAACTCAATGGAGACTAAAGCTTCCAGCCACTTCCCGCAGCTGCAGCAGATGACTCTGTGAATGTGTACGTGTAATGCTTTAGAGCTGATTGGTTATCGGGATTTAACTAGTGGGAAAGGCTGGTGCAAGTTGCAAAGAAATGGCTTCCATTTTGTTTTTTAGTTCACCGAACCTTATCCAAGAGCATGTTCTAGGAACGGTTTCGTTCGGAGCCGAGCGAACATATTCAGGTGAGGCTAACAAGTAGATAGTCTGGAAGTGTTGGGCATCGATACAACGAAGCTGTGCTATCGTCTTTCATTGGACAGTCATTCACCCACCTCTTTCTTTTGCTTCTGATTTATCTCCATAGGGCCTAAGTGATTGGTCTGAAAGGGAGGGGAGGTGAGTCGACATCAGCCCCGGATGCGTCTAGACACCAAGCCACATACGCAGATCTACCGTTATTCCCATGACTGGAAGTTTAGAAGTTGGTCAGTCATCTGCCAAACGCCGTTTAGAAATCTTCAGCTGCCGGATACTCCTTAGCCTTCAGTGGCCGCTGGAATCCCGAGACAACTTGTGCCTGATCTCCGCTTCGGTTAATTGTCGCGGAGTACTTACACATCTATCATGACGCGTCGCAGGAAGAACAACAAAACATCACTTGTGTGACAGCCTGGTATCGAGAAAACAACCCTCTTGAATAAAGTGACTTGCGATGGATCTGAAGCAGTAGACCGAAGCATACCGTCGCTTGATCGAGCAATGTACTCGACCGATCATTTGCATCTTATCAATGCTGATCTGTCACGGTGTAGCCATATTCAAGAATGTGGCTATCTGTAAAGATGAGGGAAACTTTCCCATGCATGATGAAAACGTATGAGGTACGTTGCTCACCTTAGCGAATGCTAGGCTACCGTGGCCTTGGGTCTGCGTGCTGGCATGGTTTACACGCATTAAGGACTCATGGCTAACGGCGATCAAACATGATCTTCGTTATTGGATATCTGTCACATGAGTGATCGCGAGGTCTCTGGAGAATCTTGCGATTTATTCTAGTCGCTGTGTCACTATTTCTGGAACCCAGTGAGCGTCGTCCCGAGCCTCTTAGCCCGGTCAATTACAAAGCCATGAATACTCATTATATGGCAATCATGCAATAGTTAAGTAAGTACAGACCATAGCAACGGCGACGACATCAACAACAACAGAGATGACAGCAATCATACAAGAAGGGTCAACCCAGTATGAACGAAAGAAAAGATACTCCATTACACGCCCAGTACTCGGCCCGATGAAGTCAAAGTATCCATCAAATTCACAAAATTATGAGTATGAAGCTTGCTCTTCGCTACGAAAGCACATCGAACGCTCATTCCACCCAACAACAATCACCACATATCCAACATCATGATGCCCCAAAGGGCCAGAACGCCAATGCTTAGTGGGCTGTGAGCAAGCTGGGGCAGCTCAAAGGCCCTATGCGTCGAGCCAGCGTAGATTACGAAGCGAGGCGGGGGGCTTTCTCTTGGACTGCCAACCACTGTGGTTGGGGATCCTCCTTGAGCCTGGGTCGTAGAATCTGGATTGTTGCCGTTCCCAGTTGGGACGTTTTGGGAGAAGCCACCTCCGCCGTCGATCGGACCCGTTGCGCCGGGCCCAGCGGGAGGTTGAGGAGGCCCGCCGCCATTGGGCGATGCAGCTGGCACACTTCCACCCAAACTCGCGGTGGCAGAAGGATTGGGAACCGCGCCATCGGGCAAAATTCCAGGCGTTGCTCCCTGGCTCGGAACATTTTCAGGTACGTTTGGTACAGGATTTTGTCCAGGATTTGGTACAGGATTTGGTACAGGGTTTGGTCCAGGATTTGAAGCAATGGGCGATGCTGTCGGAAGCGCCAGAGTGGGATCCAACTCTGCTTTGATCCATGGACAGCCGTCTTCTTGGGTCATGTCGATTATAACGGTCTGTACGGGAGCCATCATTGTGTAGGTAATAGATGGAAGGCCCGTTACTCCGGCGCCACAGCCATCTTCCCGCGGGCTGATACGTGGTGCCGCGAGGGCCAGGCCGAAGAGCAAAGGAAGTAACGTTGTGCGTGACGAACACATGGAGAGCATGGTGTTGACTGACGGGGAAACAGCTAATATCGGAGTGATGAGGGGAGCTGTTTGAAAAGACAGGTCTCAACGTATCCAGAAAAGCATCCTATTATACGCCGGCTACTGAAAATCATGCAACCCACTGTGCTTACCGGGAGACCTCCCAGGAGGTCTTTGGGTGAATGTCTGCATCCGGCCTTAAGTTCTTACTTTGTAAGAAATGGACGGAGCGATCTTCCCGGGTTTTGGGAATCGTAATAGTAGAACGCCATTACTTTCAAGCAAGCTGCAGCAGCCTTTGGCTGACAGTGGCTTCGCGGGCGGCCCAGCGAAAACGGACTTTTCAAGCCACTGGAGACCAATTCCTTTAGTGCCCGAGACTCAAGGTATTTCAGCGGCTTCTCCTCAACTGCTCCAACGTCTAGCAAGCTGTCTGTGGGCAGTAGTGAGGCTAAACCTTATATCCATACTACTAGTGCAACCGGAGGGCTTTGGGAAAGACTTACCGACTTGCACTATCTTTGTTGGGAATAGCCTCAGTCAGCCCCAGGATGGCGCAATATCTCATTGGCCCATGGCAGGTACGCCTGTCTCGGGCCGACGAGATGTCTGCGTCCCGGGTTGCCAACTTTGGTCACCTGGTATCGCCAAGCATCGGGGGAGAACAGCAGAGGTCCCGAAGACCAGGTTTGCGACGCCATCGCCAAGGTGAAGTGTACTACTAGGTTCGGCAATTTTACGACTTTATGAGATCATACAATGGCCATGGGTTTGTCTCGCACTCACTATCGGTCTATAAACGATTGCGATGACAGACTGTTGACCACTTCAGTCTACTATGCTCGGCGAGCTGCATAATAATCGGTAAAATTGTCTTCTTCTGAGTAAAGCCCCAGGTGAGAGAGTTCGCGATGGATTTGGTTGCAATATAATGAGGCTAGTACAAAGCTCCATGAATAACTCGGGTCAAATGAGCATATTACCCTCCGACTGCACCTAGTGTGGCAGGGACAGAAAAACTTACCGAGGCCGTCACCTGAAGTTCATTTCAGCTATGATTCAGATGAGCCTCACACTGAGCCTTTTGGTAAATTGGGCTTAGTATGTGCTTAGCGACGAAATCCTGAGACATTGATCGACGTTACGCTTGCGGCGAAGTTTCGGAGATCGTCATTTTCAAGCCGCGGGCCGTTGATGGACAACATTATACCCCGGATGCATTCCAACACGACCGGGTCGAGACTCAGCTCGATTAAAACAGTCTAGACTCTTCAGCATATCGAGGGTCATGTGACGTCTCCAACCATACATTGAGCAAGGCGTAAGGCCGACCTACAAGAGCCTTCGCAGGACGTGGGACATCACGAGAGTCCTTCGATACTCATCCGTTGAAGTCTTCCTCGTTCACTGTTGTGGTCTTATTGCCCAAACTCTCATTCAATAATTCCTCAGTCACTGTCTGGCACATATCGCAAAAATGCAAGATCTCCTTCTGCGTGATGCCCTTGTCACCCTTTGCACGCTGCTATGGTTCAGATTAGCAAACTCGCAGTGCATCCTTCCGGATGATCAAGGTATTATCAAGCAGTATGTCTTGGTGGTCGACCAGACTCCTGTGCGTCTGAGCGCCGCCATCTGCTCAAATACCACAATTACCGTCGCTGGCACCACCGTGCCAGTGACCAATGCTCCCACAGTTTTGCTCTCCGACTTTATTGTCGAGAACACCATCACATATACCTCAACTCTGTAAGTAAGACCGACATGGATCCTCTCCTCCGTAAGGGACCAATTCTTGTACTAACTCATGCACAGAAGCCCAAGCGCCACTTTCAATGGCCCAGTCTCAACAATCACGAGGGGAGTGCCTCAAGGCACTGCTCTCTCAACTATTGTTTTGGGACCACAAGCAAGCTCTGAAGTTGGCACGGAGATTATTTTGGAGCCGTTTCCCGCAGGCCAGCAAGGCCCATTTGATCCTCAGAACGCCATTTCGTCATCCTTCGATCCAGCCCAGTCAGCGCCTGGATCCATTCCTGAGAACGCATTTCCCGAACGTGTCGAGACCATGACTGCACCTTGGACCGGCACAGTCACGTCGACTTTAGCGCTTCCTGCTCAAGGCACAGACGACATCGAAAGGCAGATCATCTTGACACCGGTCGCAGCGCCGTTCCCAGGCCCAATCACAGCTGCTACAAGCCCATGGACTGGCACAATGACTACGACATTGACGACACCACCTGTCGGTACAGACTCCATCGCCTTGCAGCTCGTCTTGACACCCACTGATGGGGCTGCGCCCACGGGAGGGGCCCCGGCTGGGTTGTTCACTACTCTGACAGCCATCGGTACTGAACCAACTACATCAACCGTCGTGTTGCCCCCAACGGGTAGCGATGCTGTCGGAACGGAAATCATTGTGGTGCCAACTACTGTTGGGGATGATGATCCGGACATTTTCCCCGCAGTATATGTTCCAACAACCGCAACCGGGCCTGGGACACTAACAACCACCTTCACAATCCCACCTGCTGGAACAGATACGACTGGAACTCTGTTAATTCTCGATCCGGCCTTAACTCCATCACCTTCCAGCTATGGAAGCGATGGTGGCAGCGATGACGGGAACGACGATGGTCCTCTCAATGCCTTTTTTGGCCCCTTCACAACTGTTACTGCCCCCTTCACAGGCCTTGCGCCAACAACTATTGATCTTCCACCAAGTGGAGGTGATGGCACTGGAACCAGAGTCGTTCTGACTCCAACTCCGCAGCTCAGGCCGTTCAACGGACCTGTTGTCAGAGTTGCGGCAACCGTTACTGGTACAATCTTCACCACCGTAACCATCCTTCCAGCACAAGCGGGTGGCACAGCTACTGCAATTGTTATCAATCCAGCAAACACAGATCCTGGCGTAGCTCCCGCCGGAAACTTGCCGGCTACCCCAGCCGTGATTCCAGCAGGACCTATGGGACCACCAGACTTTGGCGTCCTAGATCCAAGCTCAGCACCAGCTGACCCAGTGTTGCCTGCAATAGTCTCACCTGTAGTTCCGGGAGGAAACAACATCTTTACAAGTACGTTCGACGGTTCCGTCACCTCTACGATCACATTCCCTCCTGGACCCTCAGGCCAACCAGGTTCGACGGTGATACTTGTCCCAAGTAGCGTTCAAGTACCCACCACCGCAGCTTCAATTCCGGTAGACCCGGCTGTTTTCTCCAGCACCAACGGCGGGCAAGCATCATCTGCCATAGCTAGTTCTGTGGTTCCGTCTAATGGCCCTGGAAACACTGTTTCCTCTGACCCTAGGCCCGTCACGTCAACACGGCAGCCACTGCCTAGCAGCTTGGTACCCTCCCAAAGCGCTCGTCCAGCTGGCGGGTCTTCCGAAATTCCACAAGACGCCAGCGTGTTATCGCCCACCTCACCTATCATCCCCGCTACATCCTCTTCACCAGGAACCTCGCAGGGGACTAATACCGCTGTTACTGTCGCCTCGAGTTCTCGGGCTGCAACCTCCTCACAGGGGGGACCATCGAGTCAGCCTAATACTCCTACTTCGATAGATCCGAACTCCCGTACTACTTCAACAACTTCGGACATTGTTCTTCCTGCCTCATTTACTTCCGCCAGCAGTAACTCAGTCACCTCATCGTCCACAACTACCATTAGAGTAACAGTCACACAAAGAACGAGTGTGGCCAGCACTCCAGGTTCTAGTGCGACCATCTCGAACACCCCTGCAACGCCGTCTACATCTTCGCCTTTGACGTCCACCACTGAGAGTATAGTTCCAGACGTTTTGCAATCCACATCAAGTACCCAGTCTACTACTTCAACCTCGAGTAGTATCGGACTTCAGACCTCGTCCACATCTAGAAGCTCCGTCTCGACCAGTGACATTCCGGTCCCTCCAGGCTTGATCTCAACAACCTCTCAGTTTAGCGTCAGCAGTACGGCCACTCTGGTATCTACCCGATCGTCATCTACAAATAGCGCCGCATCAAGCAGTCCATCTGTTGCAACTTCGAGTTCTGCCGGTCCCCCGCCTTCTGCAATCTCCTCCGCCACACCCACAAGCCGGACAAGTGGGTCTGTCACGCCCGGCTCGTCAATTACACCTTTTAGCTCTAGCACTGGTGGAAGCACCAGTCGGTCGGGATCCACAGCTAGCTCGCTATCAAGTAGCATTGGAAGTGTCACAGTTCGTTCTTCTACGTTGTCGACGACTAGCTCTTCCACATCAGGCGCTGGTACACCCTCAGGAACATCGGCGTTGAGTTCGTCCACTGTAGCCTCCAGTCTATCAACAAGCTCCATATTGCGGCCTCTCAGCACGTCTTCTGGGAATAGCCAGTCGACCTCGTCAACATCAACCAACCCTAGCAGCTCATCTCCAACACCACCAGGAACAGTATCCAGCAGTACATCTCCCGGGCCCCGGAGTACTACCTCTTCTGCATCTATCAGCTCATCCCCCCAGCCGACACCCTCAAGCTCTTCCGGGCTGTCTACCTCAAGTGCTTCTATACCATTTACCCGTTCCTCTGCGCCAGCAATCAGCTCTTCCTCAATTCCTTCAGGGGCATCGTCGACTGTGTCCTCTAGCATCAGCTCATCGGCCTCTTCGTCTGGAAGTTCGTCTGTCGCACCAACGTCTAGCTCTTCTACGTCATCAACAGCTAGCACCTCGGCATCTTCAGTCTCGAGCTCCTCTATCTCATCCTCCGTGAGCTCTACATCTACTGGAACACCAACTTCTAGCTCTTCTTCCTCGATGTCGACGACCTCTCAAGTGGCTAGCTCTACCATATCCCAAGCATCTACCTCTTCTACTTCGTCTACCTCCTCATCCCCATCCACTCCAACATCCACCCCAGCCTCTACAACCTCATCTACAACCTCATCTACAACCTCATCTACAACCTCATCTACAACCTCATCTACAACCTCAACAACATCCTCTTCTAGCTCCTCAGCTAGCCTGACATCCTCATCGACAATCAGCTCATCTAGCTCGTCTAGCTCATCTAGCTCATCTAGCTCCATCACATCCTTGACGCCAATCCCACCTACCTCGACCACGCGCATTGTCCCAACTACATCCTTCACCGGCTGTGTAGTAACTGCAACAGCGACAAGCACACCAACATGCGGCGTCACCCTTCCTGGAGCTTGCGCCCAACTGCCAACTACCAACGGTCTCATCCCATTGACCCTGGTCACGGCGGATTGCTTGCTAGATCTTGGGCCTTTCGCAGTCGGGCCCGTCGCGCTCTGTCTCACAGCAAACCTCGGTCTCAATCCTCAGGGCCAGCCAATCGCAGACTGCCTTCTCCGGACACTCGGAGCATCCTGCCCGCAAACCGTTCCCCAGCCCTGTGTCGATCTTCAAGTCTCCAATGGCATTGACTTGCTGGTCGATATTCCCACCTGTGTCGCTGCTCTTGGCCCTTACAACTCTGGCGCGGCTGCCGTCTGTCTTGCTCTGAACTCCATCACCAGCGCCACCACAGGATTGTCCATCTTCGGATGTCTCCAAGGCGCCTTCAGCACCACTCCAACCGTCACCACCACGACCATCACAGACCCAGCTTTATGTCCCACTACGGCCCCTGCACCACCAACACCGGTCTGTCCCACTGTCCCTGGCACCTGTTTGAGTCTCTCCACCGTGAATGGCTTAGACCTTCTCGCGGATATTCCAGCATGTACCCAGGCCCTCGGACTCTTCGCTGTTGGCAATGTCGCAAACTGTCTTGTCACTGGTGCCATCAACATTCTCACCACCGGGCAATCCATCGTCGGCTGTCTCCAAACTGCGCTGGCGTCGAACTGCATCACAGCGTTGCCTCAGGTCTGCTTAGATCTCAGCGCACTGAACGGCGTGGTGGATACGTCCGCCTGTCTTGCGGCGCTGGGACCGTTGGCAGTAGGAGGTGCCGCGACCTGTCTTTCATCTGGTCTCACGAGTGGAAGCTCCATCGTCCAATGCTTGAATACCGCGCTGTTTTTGTAGAGGGCTACCTTCAGTGTTCTTCTTGGATTTTAACGTTTTTGTTATCTGTTGTCTTGATAATGAAGAGAATGGGGGGGTTGGATACTAGTAGTTAGTTCAGTTGAAGTGCATGCTTCAGTCATTGATTTGGAGTTCTGGCTATCTGTTCTGGGAAAGTTGCTTTACGGTTCTCCGATCTTTCTCGCTTTGGCACATAGGAGTATTATTCGAGTGTGTTTTTCATTTCAGGGAAAAAAGCGGCGGCAGTTGATAATGCAAATGAACAGTCGGGTTACCGATAAAGGTCTTTTGCAAAGAACACTGTAAACGTAAGAACAAGGACTCCCTGTGATAGGTTTTCCTGAGTTTGCTATATATATCAACTCGTCCCAATCATGCAGCCGCCCTTCCTCGAGTCTCATAAGGCAGCAGAAGAAACACAAATCCAGCCACAACAAATAACGCTGCCGATATTCACACAGGTAAATCAGTATCTATACCGACATAGGCTGCGATGATTGGCGCCATGAGCCCACTCATGCGATTGAACAAAGCTACCAGACCATTCGCCGAGCCTCGAACAGGCGCCGGAAAGAGCTCGGGGGTATATGAGTACAGCAACCCATAGACTAGGTTCTGGAAGAATGCGATGGCGCAGGTGAACCCCGTGACGCCGGCGGGCGTTGTCGCTCTGGTGAAGAGAAACAAGAAGACGCCAGTACCGATGCAGGCAAAGGTTCCTGTGCCTTTTCGGCCGATGCGCTTCATGTCGACAGTGAACCCACCGAGGATGGACGCCGGGATCCCACACACTGCTTGTATGGCATAGTTTCGGTACGTCGTTGAAAGCGACGAGCCTCCCTGGCTCGCGCCCTTATTCTCTAGGAATATTGGGATGAAGGAGTTGTACAGAGGAAAGGCCATTCCGATCGAGCACCAGAGAAACAGCACCAGCGCCGTCGAGAGCGCAAACCGTGGGGTGGAAAACAGCGTGAGAATCTTTTCGGGCTTGAAGCTCTCGAGCTGTCGGCGCAGGACGTTGCTAGTATCCACCCGCGGTGCCCTTATGACAGTCGCGTCACGAATGACACCTAACTCGGCATCGATAGCTTCAAAGTGCTCGAGGGTAAGCCAAGTCGAGCCGCCGTTCCTCGCGGCAATCTTTTGGACAACCTCGACGGCCTCCCGATCCAACCCCCTTCCAAGAAGGTACTTGGGCGTCTCGTACACTCTGAAAAGCAGTCGGAGCAGGAACATGACGAGTGTTAGACCGCCAAAGGCCCAGTATGTGTAGCGCCATCCGAGGTTATCCTCGTACCGACACTCCCCTGCCGGCAGACCAGAAGGACAGGAGAAGTTAGCAATAAGAGGCCAGGCTATTAGGGCCGCGATAGCCTGGCCAAAAGACCAGAACGCCGACTGCATCGTCAAGAGGTACTGGTGTGTAGCGGGGATGAACTCGAGGAAGATGGCGCTGTCGACAGGCTGATTACCGCCGGTGCCTAAGCCAATGAATGCGCAAAAGGTGGCGATTGCAACAAAGTTCGGTGCGCCTGCGCCGACCAGACCCGAGACGGCGGAGATGAGGAGGGTGACGTTGAAGGCGAGCTTGCGTCCGATGTAGTCCGCCGTCATGGGCCAGGCTGTCGAGCCGATGACCAACCCGACGTACTTAGCTACTGTGAGGAAGGCGATGCGTTTAACGGCGAACTCGTTGCGGACCGGGGCGCTGATGATTGTGATGGCCTGCATCCAGAACTACGATAATCAGCTTAGCAAAGCTATGAGAACATCGGTGAAGAGGTCCTTACGTTGTCGACGAACCAGCCGAAGCCCGTCATGGCGAACACTTTCCACTGGAACGGGCCCATGCCGATGTGTATGAGGGCTTGGTTCATGATCGAGACTTTCTTTTCGTATATGTAGTCGGATCCGACGTGGATAGCGCGGGTGTCGATTCCGTGGTGTAGCTGGCTGGCTCCATGCTCAATGTCGCTGTTTTTGGTTTGTGGTGAGTCGGAAACGGGGGCATCGGGGTGGTTGCTTGATGATGGGTTGGAGATCCCCACGTCTGAGCTCAGTCGGCCCATCTGATTCTCTTTAACGCAGAATTCGCAGGAAAGTATGTGTGGACCGCTGTGTAAAAATGGGAGAAGGGGAAAGAATCGCGAAAGCTTGAGGTGGTTCAGACTTGCATGTTGGGGCTTCCTGCTGATCGCGGGCTGACAGAACCTTTATCCAAGATAGCGGGTAAGCTGCAGAAGGTGTTGTAAGTCATTGGAGAATGAGTATGGACCGGGTGGACTTCCGACATGAGGAACTACAACATCGAAGCACCAACCATCAGGCCATATCTCTGTTATCTCAACAGCTTTCAGCGACCGGCAGTCCTGGTAGCGTCTACGTCTAGCGGACGGCGGCTGCATGGCGTTGTGATACCCTTGTTCTTCTGCACCATAAGCCGTTGTTGGAGGAAAGATTGACGTTGGATTGGGCAAACAACGCCAACCCCGCACACATCTTCTGCAGTTTGCCTGCGGCTCAGGACGATGGGACGATGCTGGACATGGGGGGCCTCGCTTACGCTAGCTTCGTGAAAGCAAAGAGTTGACTTGGCTCTGGTGGTGAAGGCTTCGAACAGCACTCGTCCGGGCTGAGACTTACGATTCCATTGTAGAGGCTTCGTAGACATAAGAATATCGCCACTTGGAGGTGGCCTGCGCCAGCATTCAAGCGCTACATTTTCCAGGCATTTGTAACGTCAGAAAGACATGTTCACTGGTGTATCGGAAAGCATTGAAGTTCAAAGACGTAATCAAATTATTCATTACGGGTCATTGGGACTATTTACACAGAATATAAGTCGCTAGGATCCTTTTGTCCTACACTCTTCTTCAAGCGCTATCATTTAAGGAGCAGGAGTGGCAGCGGGCAAGCAAGCACAGGCGCTGCTAGCCTGAGCGACCTTGTCCTCCTTGGCGCAGTTCCTCACCGCGTGCTCAGGCAGAACGCTGACGTCCTTGACCGGAGCGCTCAGGAAGGACTTGCAGAACTCCTGGGACTCCTGCAGACGGCCGGGGACGGACTCGGCGCGGAACGATCGCAGGCAATTGTCGGCGTTGCATACGGGCGCCTTGGGGCAGTCCTTGCCGGTCAACTTGACGACGAAGGCGCCGCGCTCGATGGTGTTGATGAAGATGTAGCCAGAGGGGAAGTATGCGTACGAGGACCAGGTGCCGACGAAGCCGACGTAGCCGCCGCCCTCCATGTCGTCGTCCTCAGGGTAGATATCGAACCAGGCAGCCTCGCAGACACCGGCACCAGTGGGGTCGGAGGGGATGGAGCTCGCGTCGAGAACGCGCAGGCCGGCGCCGTAGTGAGATTGGTAGATGTAGTTATCGATAACGTACTGGTTGTGGTCGATGGCCTTGGTAGGGGACTTAAAGAAGCCGGTCTGCTTGGGCGCGGTCAGGTCGCGGATGTCCCAGAAGAAGCTGACCGGGTAGCCGTCGCCGCCGGGCCCGTTGCCGCGGACCTCGTCGAGCTCGTCGTCGAGAACGAGGAACTCTTGGTTGTTCACGTCGAGGACCCAGCCTTGGTGGGTGTAGGACGCGCCCTCGTACGAGATGCGGGAGATGATGTTGGTGACGTTGGCCTTGTCCGTGACATCGTAGATGGTGAGGGTGTCCTCGTTGTAGCCGTAGCAGATGTCCCTGCCCTCGAAACGCTTGTCGGGGCCGCGGTACACGAGGCACTGAGCGTCGTGAACGTAGCCGTCACCGCTGGCACAACCCAAGGAGATGGGGTCGGCGGGGTTGGTGAGGTCGAAGAAGTTGAGACCGGAGGCGCAGATGGAGTCGTTGCGGGGCTGGGCGCCGACGGCAACACCGTAGCTAAGCTCCTCGTTGACCACAACGTTGTGGGCGCGGCCTAGCGGCAGCAGGGCGTTGAAGTGACTGGTCAGGTCGGCCTTGGCGTCGAAAGTGACGGGGCTGGCTGGGTCAATATCCAGCAGCTTCTTCATGTCGAAGATCTGGATGCCGTGGCCGACGGCCTCGGAGCCGATGACCATGTAGTGCTTGTAGGAGCGGATCTCGCGCCACTCGGAGGGTACCGAGTACTGGGGGAGTCGACCCAAGTAGATGAGCTTGCCGTCGGAGTTGATCTCCGCGAAGGCGGTGCCCTGGTACTGACCGATAGCCACGAATTCGCGGCCGTCATCGGAGGTCCAACCCCATGATGAGGAACCCTCACCGAGCTCGTCACCGAGGGCGGCGTGGCTCAGGAAGGAGTGAAGGTCGGCGTTGTGGCAACGGAAGGTGTTGTTGCGGTCACCGACGATGGCCTCGGCCCATCCGTTGACGCAAGGAGCGTAGCCAAGCTCGGGGTACTGCTCACTGGCGTAGGCACCGGCCTCTCTCTGGCGAGCGAACTCGGCCTGTCAAAGATGTCAGTATGATTCATATGGATATTTATCTGTTCAGAGCCTGTTACCTTCTTGCTGGCGATGATCTGCTCGTGGATGACGCCAGAGTCGTACAGCTCAGCGGCGAGATCCGCGTTGGGCTCAATTTCCTTGCCCACCGCCGAAGCAGCGAGGACGGCCAGAGAGCCGAGGTAAGAGGAAGCGCGAACCATGGTGCCTGACGTTCAATTCAAACAAAGATTGTCAATCTTGTTTGTTTTGATGAGCAGATGGGCCTGGGCCTGGTAATTGAAGTGAGTGAGGGGAGGTGGTGGTACCTTGGGAATTCAAACCAGTAGAACGGGGATTTCAATGAACTTATACTCTCACATACTAGAGCTTCCGCACCGCAGGCTGAGCGGCCGAAGCTCCAACAGCTCCCACAGCTCTGGGCAGTCACTGCTTCCTGTCAATGGATTCTGACATGCAGAGCCCATGCCGGAATGCCTGCTAGCCATATGATCCATCGATCTGGGCATTCCTCGGCGCTGCGGGCAACCAGACGGTGTCCTCGTGGATTGCGACTCAGGGAAGCTCGGATGTGACCAAGACATGGCAGGCAGGCCGCATCACCGACAGCTGAAGCGCAACAGTGTAGCATCGGGGCGTGAGCGATAAATTTGCAAGCGATTCCGGCCGTTGGGGCGCTCGATTGTGGCTCCCAGCGAACGGTTCTTGGAGTCTCTTGGCGGGGGCTCGAAGGGGAAGGTCCCGGGATCAAGTGCTCCTTGGCGGACAGCGGTCCGGGGAAAGCTTTCGTGGCCACGGCGTAAGAAAAGCGGGACAAGGACTCCACTTCCCCCGGGACGCTGGATGGCCTCCTTTTGCCGCCTTCTTCTGTTCCCAAAGTTCCATCATCAAGCACTGTTGTTGTTGTTGATGTATGGTAGTAGTCAACTTCTGCAGGCGTAAGCCGCCCCAATGCTCGCCCGGCCCAGGCATATTTGCAGCGTCGTGCCGGAGTTAAATCTCATCTCCCGGTGTTTGTCTGACCGAAGATTGTCTGGATCGACGCGACGCTCTTGGTGCTTAGGTTGCCTGCGTTAGCATCATGCCGTGTTCGGGCCCAAGACCGCAGACAGGTCTTGTTCTGGCCGTGGTATTGGTGAAAACGCGCTTGAGCCCACGGATCCGTGCCATTGCACAGTGGTTACCAGTTGATGATCCGTTAATAATCCATCAGAGACGCGACAGGCTTTCTTGAAGCCTTGTCTATGTCCTGGAGCGCGCAAGACAGCGTAACATATCCATCAATTCAACCAAAACTCCGTTGTGCCGAAGGAAACATCAAAGAGGGGACCGATGCGGCTCGCCGATGCTCGGGTCATCACCGCCAAGCGACTGTGCCTGGACCAAGCATTTGATGATAAGCATGTCGATTGGCTGATTGGCGTTGTGTTGATAGGCAGCTGCCAAGCAAACGGCTTGGCTGCTTTTCTTGACTTTGTAGAAGACGCGTCCAACGAGCAGACAGACGTCTACATTCTAAGAGCCGCGGGTGTTGATCGATCTAGAAGATGTTAGCTTCTTGTGACCCCGCTCCTTGATACGATGTAAACACCCGAACAGCACAATATGAGACACTCATCTCCCACCAACAAGATTGACTCAATTATCCGACACTTAATACCACGGGAAACAAAAGGCATCCCGCACGCCGTGTGGTCAAAAATAAGCGACTCCGTCCGAAGTCTATCTCAAAGTTTAAAGAGTTTATTTCCTGTGACTGACCGCTATGCATGCGACCGAGACAGGGGAACGTGGTGGAGATTGCCCACTGGAAAGGCTCGGCTTTTACTCCATAGGGACCTGAAGTATCGCCCCTATCAGCATGTTTTCAGGTATGCACGTTATTCGTAATGAGTTATCCGCACCGCCTATCTCCCCCGCTTCAGCACCCAAGACTCCCCTATTCCTGATGAGGCAGGAGACCAGAACCACCGCCTTGGGCCAACATCGCCAGCTAAAGTTCCATGTTCAACTCTTCCGTCATCGACTTGTCGGCCACTATCTTCGTATTGAAGTTGAATACCTGCAGGCCAAGACCTTTGCACAGCCGCTTTGTTGACCAGTGCTAATGTGCCCCGTCCGGGTTCCCACAACTGGGCTTGACCATAATGCATCGGCCTGTCTCTCATGGATGATGCCGTAACCAATCCCAAAGAAATCATGTCTGGTCGTTTATTCGTCTTCGTCTTGGAATGGTAAGACTTGGAGCTGTGGTCCATCCTTTTTGAGGATGTTCCAGGACGTTTCTCTCATGACGCTAAAGGCGTAAAAGCTGTCCTAGACGCATCGCATCCGCGTGTTGAGACTGTCCCGGCATGAGACGCTGGTTCTGGCCAAGCCGGCGTTGGCCAGACTGAGAGGACTCCCATGAGCGGCATCAGGGCTTCCCCATTGACCAAAGGCGCCTGCACTGCGACCCTGTTCCTGCCTTTCCGGATCACTCCATCTCCCAAGAACCTTGGGCGTACGACGCCGCTTCCGTCTATCCGATGCATCCATGTTCGTCCCATGGTCGAGCTTCCCCCGCCTGTGCCCCCCATTCTGCCCTAGTTCAACGACATGCAAACTCTTTGCGGGTCAAATCAGCCCCCAAAAGTGTCTGGAAATCTCTTCCTC